CTTCCTCACTCTCCTCTCCACTGTTGGGCTCAGAAAGAGGCTCCATGGAGCTGAGATGTCGTAGCATCACCCAAATCAATGTGTTTTCTTAAGGCTTCTCTTTGATTTTACTTGTTTTTGATGTTTTTCATCAGAAGCAAAATCTTGCAGACTTTTTTTTTGATCTTGTGATGAAATTCCCTCTGAGATATTTAATTCTAGAAATAGTTTCTGCTATGAATCATCTTCTTTAAAGAAGAAAAGGCATCTAAATCACAAACATCTTGCCATATTCAACTAAAAAGCACAAAAAGGCACATGGACTTGCCTCCCGCATTACTGCTTTCACTGCTCTGCTGCTGTCTACACACCAGCCTCTCAGGTTTCCCGCACGTGCCTCAAAGGGATCCTGGTGCCCTCTGAACGCTTTCTGCTGCTTTTCCTCTCCTCTCAAGGGCTCTGCTAGGCTCTCACCTGTGGCCAGCTGAGTGAACACTCCTCCTCACTTGGTCCCAACCTCCCAACCCCAGGCTTTTTGGAAAACAGCCTGTGCTATTTCCATTTCCAATATTCACTCAAGAACCTCTTGAATTTTAATCTAAGCAAAGAGTATCTTAGAGTGAAAACTGGTTTGCCAGAGAAGAAAATCTCACCCACTTACCCCTGGGTGAAACGCCAACACTGTTTTTTATCAGAAAGGATAGAGCAAGATTTGCCAGAATCAACGGTGTCTTTCTAAAGCAAGGGAAGAGCCTCCGTTGAATAGCATTGTAGAGCTGCTTTTCAACGCAGCCCCATACAGGATGCAGAGCACACTTAGTCACCCACCGTGTGTGTCTTAGCCAATTGTTGAATCTGTATGGATTCTCAGTCCCTTCCCCAGCCTCCCAGCTGGCAAAAACTGGGGCTCAAAGAGTGGAACAAGTTTTCAACAAGCATCAGTCCCCAGGACAGCAGAATTGCTTCCTTAAAATGATCATGCCCTAAGTTCCAAAGCCAAGCAAATTCACAGAGTGTTCTCCTCAGCTAATACTTTCAGAGAGCCTCCTAGCACAAGATGCTGTATTAGTAAGAGGGATAAAAAGTGAGTGACATATTGTCCATGCCCCCAAATAGCTCACCGTGGAAAGAAGATAGGTGCACGTGACAAACAAAACGTAAGGCAGAATGAGGAAAGGCAATGAAAAAGTGTGTGTGCATGTGTGCGAGCTTTGAAAAAGGATGGGAAGAAAATATACCTCAATGTTAATGATGGTTATCTCTGTTTTATGGGTGATTTTTATTCTCTCCTGTTTGCTACATTCACTGATTATTTTTTTACAATAAACATATGTTGCTTACACAATAAGCTGTTTTTCAAGAAAAATTCAACAAATGATAAAGGACAATGATTTGGGCGATAAATTAAAACTCTGGGGGGGGCTGAGCATGTATATTGGCCCTGCAGGATAGGCAGACTGAGCAGTGAGGAGAAAGGAGGCCATTCTAGGCAAAGAAGCAGCATGAATTGGCCCCTAGGGCTGCAGTGGGTGGAGGACGATTCGGAAAATGTAAGGGACAACACTCATGGGCACTCACACGGAATGAGAGGCAGGGCCGGTGCCTAGAGGGCTTTGAATGCCAGTCTAAGTACACCCAGTTGCTTGTTCTCTGTGTTGCTATGGTCCTTTGTGTTTGTGACTCAACACACTACACTATAAATACTTGGTTGTATTCATGTTTGTCCCTCACGAAATGCTTAACTCCTGGAGGTCAAATCACATAACAGGAGTCAATGAATGCTTCTTGTAGGAATTGAATGCTAAAGGGTTTATTCTTTTACTATTCTAAGGGGTAGGTAATAAGGCCCATAATGGAAATCAGCCCCTCTGCTCAGATGAAAACAGAACTGGGAGTCCAGGATTGGAGCCGAGTCTCATCTTGATATTAACTAGTTATCTCCACCAACTTTCTTCCCCTCTGTGGGCCTCATTTCCTCCTCCCTAAATTGGGTGAGCTGGACACATGAACTTAAGACCCTCCAGACTAGGTTTACTACTGTATGTTCTCAGGGACCTTGAAGCCCTCCCTAGCATGTATGCCCACTGTAATGAGTGAGCACGTGTATAATTAGTTAACATCTTTCTCCAGCCAGGAATGGAAGCTTCCTGAGGTCAGAGCATGTCTATCTTGTTCCCAGAAGTGTCCCAGCACTTTTCTGGGATGAGACTGAGCAGCACTCAGTGTGTCTGCTGTGCAGACCTATGGCTGGTCTCTGGAATGCCCCTTCTCTGGGGTGAAGTCAAGGGTAGGAAAGCCACCCACCTGGCCCTCTCATCACAGCAGGGAGTCTCCAATGGTGTTCATTTTCTGCAGTCTACTGTTCTTCCGCACAGTTCAGCTTGTCAGTTTTATCTACCCCTCCACCCACCCTGGGAAAATCCCCTAGGTTTTCTTGGAAGTATAAGGAGGGAGGTGGAGGCCTGAAACTGAGCATTTACATTTAGAATATTCTGTTCAACTGGAAAAACATTCACTGGTCCTCTGCCTTCATGTCCAGTGAAACTAAGGTCCCAGGAGGTGGAAGCTAAGTGCCCCATGAGACTTCACACCAACAATTGTCCTTTATCCTGCTCCCTAACGTCAGCCTCACCTCTCACTTGAAGATGCCCTTCTCCATCACAATCCATAAAAGCTGGGGATGGGTGCTAGGGTTCCCGGAGGCAAAAGAATGCCCAGAATGACCTCCACCAGGACATCCTATTCAGGGAATCCCAAAATGACAGTTCCCTTCTGACCTGCACCTAGCATCTTCTTCAACATTAAAACAGACCTAATGGTGTCATAGGGTGGTGTGCATGGAGGGAAATAACCTCCTTCCTTTAAAGACATCAGTTGTTCATTTGGGGGATGATGGGTAATACAAAACCCCCAACCCAGCTTGAAGACTAAGAATAACTGTGGGTCAGGGCTCCCCTCTGTTTCCTCTTCAATTTGCATCCAGTCTGGACCCCAGCCCCACCCCAGCTCAGTGCATTGCAGTTCCTAGATGGTTCTTACCAGGCAGCTCTTAATAGCTTCTCCACCCTTATACAGTCACACTCAGGGTGACCCCTCTGCTCCCATACCACTGGTCCTATCTAAGTTAGCTCAGAAAACAGTGTCTGTAGAGTGAATAGGGAGTTCATGTCTAAGCATTCTCATCCCCACTCAGCTCCTGCTGGAGAAGTCAGGGAGGACTCTCATTTCACAGGCACTGTTAATGGAAGTTTCCTTTACTGAAGTCTATAGAAAAGAGGCAGTGCCCAGGAGATGCCTCCACAGGATAACTGGCTAGTTATTAAGGAAGCCTAGGTGGCATGTGTGTGCTCTGAGGCTGACTGCTCTCATTCCAATGCAGTGGGTGAGGATGGCCCATCTGGAATTCATTCAAAGTGATGTGACCTCATGTAAAAGGGATCTGCAGAAGGGATCAACTCCCAAGACATGGGCAGATCCATCCAACCAGTCAGCACTTTCTCCTGGACCTTCAGCTGGGAAATAAATGGCTCTACTCTCGTTCATGAGGCCACCCCAGTAAGATGGGCCTGCTGGTGTGGGGAAAGATGAACAACAGGAAGGATTCAGGAGCCAAGTGTTCAGACATGTGACACAGGCCTCCCTACAACCTCGCCATGTTGCTCCTCCTCAGCTCCCGGCAGTGGCTCCCACACGTGTGGAATGAAGGGCAAACCCACTTTCTGAGCTTCTTGGGCCTCTTGTGGTCTAAGGAGGACAGCAAACGCTATTCCTGAACAGGTCAGGACAGGACAGGACAGAACAGAATGGACAGGAAGGCGGCTCTCCACACCAGGGATTCTCTGGTGGGCTCTGTAGAACTAGCTCCCCCTCCTCTTAGAAAGCCACTCTCTCCTCTAGTCATCCTGACTCTCATTCTTCCCCCAACCAGGCCTTCTCACTTTCACTCGTTTTGCTTCCACATCTGAAAAGCTCCTATATTTCTCCCATCTCACCAAATTTTATCCACCCCATAGGCAGTGTATTTGTTTCCTAGGGCTGCTATAATAAATGATCAAAAACCAGGTGTCTTAGGACAACAGAAATGTATTTTTTCACAGTTCTGGAGGCCAGATGTGCTAAATCAGGGTGTCCACAGGGCTCTACTCTCCCCTAGGGAGCAAGTCATTCCTTAGTTCTTCTGACTGCTGCTACCTGTAAGCTTTTCTTGACTTATAGCTCCATAATTCCAAACTCTGCCTCTGTTTCTACATGGCCTCCTCTCTCCATCTCTCCTCTGTGTGCCTCTTAAAAGGACACTGATTGAATTAAGGGCCCACTAAGACAATCCAGGATGATCTGAACTGGAGATCTGTAACTGAATTATATATCTCCAAAGACCCTTTTTCTGACAGGGTCACATACATAGGTTCTGGCGGTTAGGACGGGAGCTATCTTTTTACCATTTACCCCACTACAGGCAAGAATTCTCAACCTCACAGGGCATTAGAATCATTTGGGGAGATTTTTTTTTACTACAGATGCCTAGACCTCATTACAGATTCTCAGTTTTGAATGATTCTGGGTAGAGTCCAGGTGTGTATGTAAGTGCTTGTGTGAATGTGTGTTTAAACTTCCCAGTTTCTACAGTACAACCTGGGGAGAGCTACTCTTTTAAGTCTTGATGACTCATAGTATTTCATCCAAGCAGAAATCACAGGTAATGCCAACTTTCTCTGATGGCTTTCTCCTCTAGGATTATTTTCAAGTTGGTTACAAATCACAGTGTCATCTATCTACTGTTTTTTTACTGTTGCACAAAGAATGTCAGGGAGATCATTTAATCCAGTGGTGTTCCACCTTCTCCAATCAATGTCCCATTTTTACAATAAATATTTGGAAACGTTATCTTTACCACCTGAAATAAAACTACTAAATAAGCAGGTTAGCTCATATGCATAATTTAGCTCTAATTATGATATAAAGGGAAAAAAGGAATGCAATTTATAATAAAATAATAAGTATTTCAATATGTAACTACTTACGCACAACTGCACTGGGATGAATGATGAAGTAGTTAATGCTCACTCCTACTTACAATGGATAAGATTAGATGTAGTGCTGCTCATAAGGACTACAAGGAAATAAAAAAGCAGAGAACAACGGAATAAAAATGTTAGGATGAGAAATAACAAACCCACTATCCTGTCTGGATCTGATAACAGGAAGAAGGTAATAACTTTCCTTGAAGTTGAGATAACACGCTGAATTAAATTATAAATGTTAAAGTAGGAAAAACAAGAAAGTATATTATTCTTGCATATGAACTAAGCATTACATATAAGTATAGCAATTTATTGTTCTGAGGCATGAGACAGGACAATGACAGAGTATCACAGAAATATATCTGTAATCTGGAAACCCACCCACAGAGTGGAGGCACACACTCAGTTTTTGGCATTAAAAGTCTTGGAAACAATATCCTTTGTGTCTAGGCAAGGGGAAAAGGAGGGTGGGTTGGAAAAATTTGCTTGGTTGATCTCTAGGAGGAATATCAGAGTAAGAGTGAAAAACAGAGGCAACCCCAAATTCAATCACTGCAATACCTATTTTTTGCAAGTATGTATCATTGCACTACAAATATTAATATATTATTTAGATTAGTATGTAAACTATTTTAAAAACAACTTCTATATAGAAATTCATTGAGATAGTGATGTTTCATGTGCTTTTGTTAATTTAGTAACATGTTGTATGTACAGTGGGGTTGAGTTTGGCTGGGTGGGTGACAATTCACCAATGGACATCGGAACATACAATCATGACTAGCAAGCCTAGCCCCAACCCAGTGATGCCAGGGGCATCTCCCTGTTGTTGTGGCAACTTGAAGTTACAGCACAGATTTCCAAAATGTCCCCCGGGCCTCAGTACTGAGCTCTGCGGGCCTTGCAGCAAGAGCAGCACCTGGGAGCCTATCTGACATGCAGAATCATAAGCCTTGGACGGACCTACAGAGGAATGTGCAAGTTAACAAGACCCCCTGGTGATTCACACAGGACATTTGTGAAGCACTACTTGAGGGACAGCTCTGACCCCACAAAGAACACTGACCCCAACCTCATTCATTTCTCGAATGAGGACACAAGCCCAAGAGGGTAGGTCAACTGTACATTTTGCTCCTCTTCTTGTCAATAGTCCCCTGAGGACAAGAAGAGTGTGGGACATGTCTCTTGTATGTCCACACAGTGTCAGCACAGAGAAGCACATGTGGCTGTAGCCCAGCAGTGTCTGTCATCTATATTCCATCAGGACTCTGAAATCTCCTTTTTAACCAGAAAAAAAAATTGTTTCCATTACTCATCCATTGAAGCACAGCAACAGATCCCCAACAGTCACTTGAACTGAGTTTCAACACCTCTGTTTTGAGTAATTATATCACTAGCATCAGCTATGCCAAAGACCACAGTATTTGAATGAAGAATGGCTGGCCCCGCCCCACTCCCTCTGCAGGGAGGCTGCTGTGGTTAGTGTCACACTCAAAGAATAAGTAAAAAGCAAATGCCCCACTTGTTCTAAGATAACCACAGAGATGATAGATGCTGTGCATGCAAACTTGGGGGAGAAGAAAGAAGAAAGGCAACAAAAAGAAGCCAAGAAAAGAGCCTCCCTCCCTGTGGCAAGAAGCCTGACATGCAGATCCTTCTGCTGGAGCATGAAGTCAAAGGTAGAATATGGTGACCTAGGAACTGTGCTCTCCTGGGCCCCTCCTCCCACACTGCCCCCAAAGCTGGTGGGGCTTAGTAGTCTTTCAGGGTTTGCCCTCCAGCAGAATGCTAATTTCCACCTCCCAGGTGGAAAGCAGCCCAGTGCAGCCATTAAACCAATGACCAGGAATGAGAAAAGCTGAGATGTGGTGCAGGGAAGGCGAGAAGTGGTTTCCTTCAGTCCACCTTTCAGCCCTGACTGAGCCCATCTCCAAAGAGCCCACAGTCTCCAGAGCTGCAGCTGTTGTCACCTTCACCCTGGGCTGTGGTCAGAAAGATGGCTCAACACTGTAACTCACAGTCTCCACTTCCGGGCCTCATTTCCTTCCTTCGTCCAGCAGTGATGAAGGCCCGAGACAACAGAAAACCACCCACCTTGTTACTCCCACAGTGAATTTATTTCTTTTATCACATTCAGGACCCAGCCAGGCACATCCGTGTCACTCCAATGACACATTCGCCAGGTGACACTGCAGCTTCTGTTGACATGCCCTAAGCTCCAAGGACCAGGGTGTGGCCAATGCATCTTACTGACCACCTGGCACAGTGCCTTGCCTTCAGAAGTTGCTACATAAATGCTGAGTCCCTGAAAGAGCAAAGGGGACAGTGGAGACAATTCCACTGTATAGCATGTGACAGACCATAAAGGGTGAGCCATGGTCTCTGTTATTTTCATTGTATGCTGTCTCCGAAGCATGTCAACTCTCACCTATTTTCAGAGATGTTCTCTTATCATTGTCATGACCATCATCACCATGCCACCACCAACAAGAAACTGAAAAGGTGAGAAGTGTAACTGTTAAGCTATACCCTTTAAAAAAAAATTGGAGGGTCCAGCAGAAGTAAGGCTTGCTTGAGTGTGGTTGGTAGGGTACATGAATGTCTCACACGAGATGGACAGCAATTTGAACATTTCAACTAAAATGTCGTATGGTGTGCTTGAGTGTGTGATATTGTTATGCTACAGAATTCATGCTTATGATTTTGTAACAAAAAGGGGCATTATTTGTTCTGGACCCTGTGTATTGGCTAAAACATCAGGCCTACAGCCAGAAGTTTTTGGATTCAGGTGCCAGTTCTGCCATGTACAATTTATGAATCTTGGTCAGGCGACTTCACTCTGTTAATGATTCCTTGTCTATAAAATAGGAATAGGACTATTCTGTCCTGGTAGAGCTCTGGTGATCTGACACAAGTAGCAGAATAACCCATTTGACTGTCTTGTTCATGTTTAGTGCTGGTCTCCAAGCAGCTGCCCTGGCAGTGCTGACGTGACTGGCAAGCAGAGTTTCCCTTCTACTGAGAGATGAGAGAAAGGCATGGGCGTAACAAAGCCACTGCACCCTCAAGCGCCCAGACAAGTAACACAGATGAGCCAACTTGTCACGTATGAAAGAAGCAAAATCACATCCACAAAGAAATCTGTCTTTTCCTTTTCTTCTCGAAAAAGACAACCTCCTCGGCTTTCATTTCCTACTTGAAAGAGCATGAGTACAAAAGCGATTCCCCCTTCCTTCTGAATCTACCATGAGAAAAAGCGGTACCCTCGAGATGCTCGATGGAATAGAGGGAGGGGGAGGTAGTGAGAGAATGTCAAACAGAAGCAGGCCGGAGCTAATGTTAGGTATGCTCAGAAACAGCTGCTACTCAATCCAAACAGTTGTCCACATATAGTTGTTGGAACCCAGTGTTTCTGGTCTTTTTTGATAATTCAAGATATGTCAGAAGTTTTAAATGTTACACATGTTCAAGTGTAGTACAAAATGGCAGTTTCACTCAGTGCAGCAGGACGTGTAATAAGCAGCAAGTGACTGGAAACCACCTGTATCCATCAGTAGCATGGGTTAAATAAATGACGGTACATACACACAGTGGGGCCCTGTGGCCCATTAAAAAGAGTGAGAAAGCTCTCAACATATTGATAGGAAAAGAGCTCCAAGATAAGTGAAAAAAGCAAGGTAGAAAAAGTGTACAGTGTACTATAATTATGTAAGAAATAAAGGGATGGAGGCAGAATGTGTATTTGCACTGACTTGTATTTGCAATAAGAAGCTCTAGAAGAATGTATAAGAAAGTAATAAAAGTAATAAGAGGGGAAGGGGCTGGACAGGCAGATGGAGGCCAGGATAAGATTTTACTAGATCTCTTTCTATAAGGATGTGACTTTTGAACCAGGTAAATATATTGCTTATTCAGATAATAATATAAAAATGTTTTGAATACCAGCCACTATAACCAAAACACATCTACGGGCTACAACTGGCCTGTAGGCCTCTGGTTTACAACCCTGCATTAAGGAATTCTACACTGGGGAGGCAGAGAGTTAGCAGCATGAAGTCCAGATTTTGGAGACAAGCAGGTTCTTCAGTAACTACTATTGAGAACTCTCTTTGAATTGCCTGGCAATGCGTTGGTTGGGCCCAGTAGCTCCTCCTTTCCTAGGGCAACTTCCACAGGATGAGGTGGGGCTCCTCCACTTTGCTCCAAAGTTAAGGCTGCCTGGACCCCAAATGGTCTGTTTGTTCCCAGCCATTAAGCCTCTTCCCAACACATCCTATTAAAGGGTGGAGCAACAGGAGCGTGGAATTCCTCCACTGGCACACAGACAGTAGTGCATGTGTCCCGCTGGGCCCCAACCCAAGCAAAGTTCCCTGCAGAGTGACAAGGAAACAGAGGACACATGCCCCTGCTGCCACTTCTCCCTGTCCCTTCCAGTCAGCACCAGGGGACACTGTTAATATTCACTCCTAGCCCTTTGTATGTCCTAGTCTTATCCTGTGAACGAGCTCACTTCACATTCTGGGTTGAATTGTGGTCTCCAATCTCCAAATAAAGACAATGTAGAGTCATAACCCCCAGTTCCTCAGAATGGGATCTTATTTAGAAATAGGGTCACTGTAGATGTCATTAGTTAAGAGGATGTCACACTGGAGTGGGATGAGCCCCTAGTCCAATGTGACTGGTGTAGTCAAGTGAAGATAGAGACATGGAGAAAGAACACCACATGACAATGAAGGCAGAGCTTGGATTACCAGGCTGCAAGCCAAGAAACACTAAAGATTGCCAGCAAACTGCTGGAAGCTAGGGAGAGACAGGGAAGGTTGGAGAGTGAGCAAGGGCCCTGCCAGCACCTTGTTTTTGGGTTTTTCTCCTCCAGAATTGTGACATAATGTGTTTCTGTTTTTTAAATCATGCTGTTTATGGTATTTTGTTTCAACAGCCCTAGAAAATGAATACCCTTGGGCCAGTTCAAGTGGCAAAGGTATCTGACGCTGTTCATCTCAGGAGGTGCTCAACAGATACTAATGACGCCTCTGTTCAAATGAATGAAAACCCTGGGCCCTTGGCTGATAAAGTCGTAGTGTGTAGGTATGCAGCAAAAAATCAACCAGTAATAATTGCTGAGTGCTGATCTTGTGAAGAACATAAGAGAAATGAAATGCCGTATTACTGCCCTTAAGAAGTTGACAATCTGATCAAAGATTTAAGGCAGACGCATAAAATATAACAACCCATATAATGGCCAAATAAATCAGTGTTACTTCACCTCCCCCCCAGTGAATACCATAGAAGTCACTTGTAACTAAATCCCACTGTACCACCTTAAACTCAATTTCCTACATATTTCATTTTAGCTGCTCCTGATGTGTGTCTGGAAGAACTGGGAAAATTTTAGAATGTCAGTCTAGTAGACAATTTCTAGAAGCTGTTACCACTGCTCTTGGCATAGAACTCACATTCCCTGCCCACTGTGGCTACCCACTGCTGTCCATGATCATTATTTGCTACCCTTGGTGGAAGATTCTCTCATCAGTTTGTTACCAGCTTTCTCTTTCTGTTCAGACAGCCAGACCCCAGAGGGCAGACAAGCCTATTCCACGGCTCTCCACAGATCTGGCAAGTAGAAAACACAAGATCCATGTGGTTTTGGGAGTCCACTTTGGTAAATTGACTAACAGTTTTTAACAGAGCTACAAAAAACCAGAGATGCCTACAGAGATACTATTTTCTGTATCATCATTCAGAACCCTTGCTTATTTGGCCCAGCCTTCTTTCAGGGGGCAGCTCCCACTACACCCTTCCTCCAGTAACCTTTGATTCTTACCATAAGCAAGCCTCATGTCCAGTTACACACCTGGGGGTGGGGAGGTAGCACACCTTGACTGAATCCCCTGGAGCTCCCCCTGAATTCCAGGTGTCTAGGGTCTGGCTGCCCCAGGGTTCCTCCTGCAGCTCTTACCTTGGGAAGAGACGTGGCCGTGCTGAGTGCCAGGTGGCACCCCAGGCTGGATTCACGAGGAAGAGCACAAGTTGCAGCTGCCCCACCCTTGACAAGCAGCCTGACGACCTGACAGTGGCTCCGGGCCAGTGTCCTGAAGGCAGCTGTGGTCAGCGCAGGACCTGCAGGTGGGACACACAGAGGAAAGGTCTCCTCACTTTGACTTCAAGTAATTCATTTTAGGTTCTCAGGGTAGAAAATATTCTTAAAGTCATTTAATTTTCATCCTGTGATTTCTGAAACAAGCTGGCAGCTGGGTTCTGGGTCAGCTATTGCAGCTATTGCTCACCTCAACACCACCACCTCTCCCTTCCTACTTTCTAACAGAACTCCAATTCTGTTCACTGCTCAGGGTAAGCCACCTATGCCCAGTTCAGAGGCCTCATCCAGTCACAGCAAATGCTGGCCCCTGGCCAGGAGTAGGTTAGAGGGGGGCTTCTGACCCAAATCTGGTCATTGAGACATGAGGAGGGGCCTCTCGGATTATTCCTGGGAATGTTTTCCTGGCTCTTAAAAGGAAGACGCAGGAATCCCTCCTTGTTCAGCTACACTGTGACCTTCTGTAGCCACACTGTGACCTTGAGAGGGAAGTGAGAGGGAAGAGCAAAGAAAGACAAAAGAACCTGGGTCCTTGAGGATGTCTTGGACCCACGGACTACACAACCCTGGTGCCACCCTTCCTCCAGACATCATATGACAATAGTAATAAATATCCCCATTGCTTATGTCCACTGTGTTGTAGTTTTTTGCTACCATGGCTAAGATTATCCTAAGTGATGTGCACGCAGATGTTCCCGAGAAGACAGGACCATGTTCCTGAAGAATAATCCCACTATACTGGCTACAACATTCCCAAACATCCACGCCATTCTTTTCTCTCCACCTTTTCTAAGCACTCAGCCCTTTGCCTATACTCATTTTACCATATTTTTAGTTCTACAGTATAAGTCCATTCAGTCATTTAATTGAGAAACATTTTTTACTCCCTATGATGTCACAGACAGATTGAAAAATGAAGCCCTGGAGAGTGCACAGTCCCTGATCATGCCACACACCTCTCAGATCATGCTCTGCACGAACTGGGTGTGCTTGGTGAGGCGCCCACGGCAGTGGCTGTGCCTTGGCTTGCTCCATTCTTCGTCAATTCATGGCCATTGTTGAGGCCCACAGCCACGGGGCTGCTTTCTTCCATGGCTGCTGCGGCAGCAGGGCTACACCTGGATTTTTTAAGCTGACCCTTCTCTTTTTCAGACCTTCATTGCTCAAGTGGGTCATCTCCTACTCTGGGAATCCCACATATGCATGGATTTTCAACTGCACAAGAGGTGGGCTCCCCTAACCACACCCTCCACCCCACTCCCCAAGCTGCTCGAGGGCCAACTGTAGCACCTGGTGATGGTCCTTCTCATCGCCGACTCTCTTTGCAGTGTACACAGCAGTTATAGACTCTGCTTTTAAATCTTTACAGCAGTGCAGTGAGGTGATATTATGCTGCATATTGTACATCCATCCAACTGTGCATATGAAATGAAATTATAACTGAAAACACTTAGTAAACTGTAAAATGCTCCACAAATACACATGATTTAATTACCTTCAATTTACATGTGAGGAAAACACAGATAAGAAATGTCAGGCCAGGTTTAGAACTTCAGAACTAGTGCTATTGTTTTCCTTGACACCATCAAGGGGATGGGTTCTGGGTTTACCTGTCCTCCTGCACCCTCACCCATCAAATTGTTGCCAAGTGAAAATTAGACAGAGAACTTAAAGGAGACCAAGTTAATTTCTCTTAGCTGCTTTTTACTGCTTTGACTTATTTATCCTTAATGAAATGGAGGATTAAGGATGGAGCTGGGAAGGGTGTCTCAGCATGGGTATTGGGGTTCAGAAGCTGTGTCTGAGGCATCTTTGTCTGCTTCTATCTCTCAGTTGGGGGAGATGCTTGGGGAGGAGGGGCAGGAGAGACCATTTTGAACCTGTGGATGAGCCAATGTGTATTTTATGACCTTATCAAACTGTGAACACAAATTCTTTTAGAATTGTGAGTCTAACTGGAATCCAGAGTATAGTTCTGGCATTTGTGTATACATGTGCAGTGTTTTTTGAATAAAGAAATCATAAATGTTTTGTTTGAAAGATGTGAGGCTTGACATTGAAAATATGAAAAGAAAGCAATCACTAAACATCAGCTCTGTAGTTACAGATTCACACAATATGAAAGAGTGCCAGAATTTTATCTTCCACCTGAAGCAGAGGGGGGAATTCTTTGATGCTCACAAGATCTTATTTACTTGTTTATTCATTAATTTTTGATGATAAGAAATTAACATCTATTTTGAACCTAGGTGCAGAAGCTATACTGAGAGCATTATATATTGCTTGCTCTTGTATTCCTCACAAAAACCTTGCATAAATGGCACTTATTACATTAATTTTTAAGATTAGTATATCATGATTCTGAAAGCTTAAATAAGTGGATTCAAGTATCCTAGATGGTAACAAACCACAGCAAGATATGACTATAAATAGGCCTGACTCCAAACCTCTGTTATTTCTTCAACAGCAGACTGAAAAAATACATTTTCATTTCCTTCTTAGTTCCTTCTTTGATTTCAGATCTTCTGTCTAGAATCTGTTTCCTTCTGTCTGAAATACATCTTTTTAAAAACATCCTTTGATGAGGGTCTTCTTACAGCAAACTCTCCTGGTTTTGTTCAGCAGATAATGCCTGCATTTCCCTTATACTTAAAGGGCATTTAGGTGTAGAATTCTCAGATGACGTTTAACATTCTTTTAGCATGTTGAAGGTCTTCTGCCACTTTCTGGCTTGAAAGGTAACTTGTCTTTTCCTTCTGGCTGCATTTAAGGTACTATCTTTGTCTTTGGTGTTCTGCAATCTCACTGAGACATACCTGGTGGTGGATTTCTTTCTATTTATTATTCCTGGGCCTCATGGACATTCTTGAATATGTATATTTTTGGTATCTTCCCTTACTTGTGTAAAATTCTTAGCCATTATATATTCAAATGCTCTCACTCTCTCTCTTCTCCTTCTGGGACTCCAAATAGACATGTTAGACACTATTTTTCATGTCTCAATAAGCCCTTTCATATTTTTCTGAGTCTTTGTCTTTCTGTGCAGCATTTTGGTTAATTGATTTAGATGTAGCTTCTAGCTCATTACTTCTTTTTCAGACTGTCTCTAACATGCTATGAAGTCTGTCCATAGTTTGTAATTCAGCTATTTAATTTTTATTCCTGAAAATTCTCTTTGGTTCATTTAAAAAATCATCTTGGTTATTCTTCAAGATTTTTCTTTGTTGCCTACACATATTTGCAAGCTTGTCTTTAACTGTAATAATTACATTATAGTCATTATTATAGTCAGAACCTGGATATTCTATTATCTGAAGAAGTCCCTGGTCAGTAGTTCCTTTCTTTCTTGTCAGCTCATCAGTGCTGAAAACATTGTTCTTGTTTTTTTAATATTTTATTCAAGATCTTTAGTTTTTTTTCAGTGGGAGGGTCAATCTAAGTGCTTAGCCTGCCATACTGCTGGAAATAAAAGTCTAGCATATTTATTTAAAATTGATAAAATGATGAGAGGGAAAAGTAATCAAATGGAGGTAGGCCCTTAGGACCTAGAATTGCCCACACTGTATTGAAGGCATGTTATGAACACCCTGAACAGTGCATGAGGTGCCTTAGTGAGAAGCCACTCACAGTGTGGCTTGCCCCCAGAGTGGCAGGGCCATGGAGACTTCTTCTGCTGGCACCCTACCCCCAGAGGACCTGACACCACAAATGGCATGACAAAATAAGAGGAGGAGATTTTCAGGAACCTTCCTGTTGGAAGGAATCATTTTATCTCCAAGGGATTAGAGGCCCCTTAGGAGAGGAAGGCCTCCTGAGACTTGTTCCCTAGGTGCTGGTGTGAGCCCTACCAGAGCCACTGGGGCTTGATGGTATCTCTACTTGGAATGCAGGGTACATGTTCTTCCATCCCAGTAGTCTTCTGGGAGTATTCAGAATAGAGGTAGGGGGACCTCGGAGTCCAGGCTGACCTCAACCTCTCCTCCCCATCAACCACACCCAGTCTCTCAGTCCTGCTGACCCCACCTCCTAAATAGCTCTAGAGTCTGCTCACCTATACCTACCCACCTGCCACCACCCTGGCTCAGTACACTACCATTTCTTGCCTGAAATGTAATAATTTCCTAATTGATCTTAATGTATCGACTCCCTACCTCTCCCTTACCTTCTAAATTAAATCCCCACAGCAGCCAAAATCCTCTTTTTTAAAAAATAGAAATTAGATCATGTCTCTCCCAAACTTTTAGGTTATTTCCTATGACGGCTTCAGTGAAGTCCCAGATCCCTAACCTGGCCCACAAAGCCTGGTTTTGTAACCTTACCTGCTGTGGTAAAATTGTTTTAGCCTCTTGGCTTCCTTCTATTTCCTGAACTCATGCAAGCTCTTTCTCCCTGAGGATATCTGCGCCTGCCATTCCTTCTCCAAAGAGCATCCTTCATCCTATTTCCTTTTCTTACTCCTACTCATCTTGTGGGATGCCACTGAAATGTCCCTTCCTTCCCCTCATCTTCTGTCTGTAAGTCTTGTTGCTGAGCTCCCTATCACAAGCATTCTATATGTCTTCGTGTCTTCATAGAGCACTTACCTCAGTTGTGATCCCACAATTGTTTCTGTAGTTTCTGTTCCTTGCCTGTCCTCCCCACTACCTGATAAAAGTTGGTTCATGTATGTCCTGCTTGTCACAATATCCCTGACACAAAGCACAAAGCCTGACATGTAGTAGATGTTGTTCATTCAGAGAACAAATCTATGAGTGAATCTGGCTTTTGCCCCCATCCCTTCACTGGAACTGCTCTTCCTGAGTTCACCCGTGGCCTCTTCATTGTTAATTCAGTGTTTTTTCTCAGCCTTTATACTTGACGCCTCCACATTTGAAACCCTCTATTTCTTTAAGCATTCTCCAACTTTCCTCTTCCTTTGATTCTGAAATATCATTCCTTTGTTTTCTTGTCTCTCTAAGCTCTGTCTCTGAGCCATTTTTGCTGTCTTGCTCCAGCTGCCACTTCCACGTTAGCGTCCTGCATG